CCCCCCCCCCCCCCCCCCCCCCCCCCCCCGCCACCCTCTCTGCCTTCAAGCGATTAGGAAATCGGTAAGGAAGAGATGGAAAGTACCAGCAATTGTAATTCTCATAGACTAGTTTCGAGAACAAGATGAAATGTCTGGTATTTTTTTCTTAATTTTGTTTAACTTTTTTTCATTTTTGAGAGAGCATGAATGAGGGAGGAGCAGAGAGAGAGAGAGAGAGAGAGAATCTGAAGCAGGCTCCAGGCTCTGAGCTGTCAGCACAGAGCCCGACATGAGGCCCGAATCCACAAACCATGAGATCATGACCAGTCAGACGCTGAAACGACTGAGCCACCCAGGCGCCCCTGAAATGTCTGCTATTTAAAATACTAGGGGCACCTGGGTGACTCAGTCCATTAAACGTCCGACTTCGGCTCAGGTCATGATCTCACGGTTCATGGGTTTGAGCTCTACATCACATTCTGCACTGACTACTTGGATATCTCTCTTCCCCTCTCTCTCTCTCTCTCTCTCTGTCCTTCCCTGGCTCACACAGTCTCTCTCTCTCTCTTTCTCTCTCTCAAAAATAAGTAAAAATAAAAACTTAAAAAAATAATAAAAATAAAATAAAATACTAAATTTAGGGGCACCTGGCTGGCTCAGTCAGTGGAGTATCGTGACTCTTCAGGGTTGTGAGTTTGAGCCCCACATTGGGTGTAGAGATTAGTTAAAAATAAAATCTTAAAAACAAATAAAATAAAATAAAATAAAATACTAAATTATCTTGGAGCATGGAGAATTAACTTCAAGTGCTTAAAATATTTATAAATCTTGAATGAATTTCTGTTAAACTTACCTCCACTTTACAATTTAACATTTACTCTGAAAAGCAAAGCCCTTGAGAGCAATAAACTCTTTTAACCTTTCATTCCTTGAGAGGAGACAGACATAAAATACATTTTCAGTAATAATGTAAGAATATGGAGGGGAAAAAATTGTAAATGGGCTTTTACTTACTGGGAGGGACATTCTCTGGGGACAATGGTAGGAAAACCCCCAGCTTCATTCCTGCATATTCCCCCAGAAACAGGGGAAGGTCTTTCAAGAAGTTGTAAGAACAGAAAAAGGACAGCATTCATTATTCTACACATTTCTTAAAATCAGGCTGGCTTTTTTTTTTTTTTTTTTTTAATCAGGCTAGCTTATTAGAAAGAGAAGGGAGGCAAGGGGATTTCCTAGCGTTTTTGTGCAAATACAGTGGAATCAGTCACACTTTGATTTTTGTTGAATTATTAATATTTTATAATTGATTAATCATGGAATTATTCATTGGCCATTTGAAGATTGACTGAATATTAGGCAGCCCTTTCACAAGGTGAAAGAGATTGTACTGACATAGAAAACATGTCCAAAATATACAGTGAAGGCCACAGGAAGCTAGATTATTTATTGCATGGCATTGACTCGGGGCACCCAGCCAGCCCAACTAAAACCAGCTGATGATCTATATGATAGTCTCTCAAGTACCCCCGGACACCTCCAAAGCTAGCAGCCTCAGTAGGGGCTGGGACAAGAGCCAGGGGGCCCTCAGCAAGGTGGCTGCACACTCAGACACTGCCTTTATTTATTTTTTAAGATTTTATTTTTTAGTAAACTCTACAGCCAACGTGGGGCTTGAACTCACAACCCCATGATCAAGAGTCACATGCTTTTCCAAATGAGCCAGCCAACCACCCCGTAGACCCTGTCTTGAAGAGATGAGATACTGGTCCTCTGGAGACCTCAAGCAATCTTGGGCAAATCTTCAAGCTGGCGAGCTCCCTCTGACGTGTAGGAGGGAGGGGCTTTTAGAACAGTTTGTGACCACAGTGGACTCCAATGACAGAGGGGGCCAGGTGACATCAGGCTGCCACATGTAAAAATTATACACAGCAAAAGACCCGAAGTAAATGTGGCCAAACACAACACCACCCCTCAGCCATCCATTCGAACATTTACTGAATGCTGAAGTGCTGAGGCGAACAAGACAGAGAAGGTCTGGGTGCCCATAGAGTGCAGGGGACAGGGATGGAGACTGGCCAGCCCATCTCATGAACAAGATAACACATGTATGACTGCAGCGTAATGAGGGCTCTGAAGGAAAGGAGTGGGATACTAAAAGACAATACAGCAGCGAGGCCACTTTAGACTCAGGGGCTAAGGCGGGGCTCCTGAAGGAGAGATCATCTGTCTGAGATCTGAAGGATAAGTGGGAGCCAGAGGAGGACAGAGCTCCAGACAGAGGTCCCGAGACTTGATGTGCTGGAGAAAACAGAGAAAGGAGATGGCTGGAGCATTGCGAGGCTTCAGGGAGAGGCGCGGGGAGGCCATCAAGGGCCTTGAAGGTGAGATAAAGAATAGGAAGAATGGAAGGCATTGAAAGATCTTGACTAGAAGAGGTAAGTCTTCCTGTTTATGTTCCGTGAAGATCCCTCGGGCTTCCTGCAATGTAGACTGGAGGCAAGGGGGAGCGGAAGCAAGGAGACCAATGACAGAGGACAGGGACTTCAGCCGGGGCAGGGGAGCAGAGGTGGATCTTGGAGGCAAAACCAATAGGACTTGAGGATGGGTCGGATGTGGGGTTCGTTGGCAGTCATCCTTGCCATGCCTATGACTTGAGCGAATGCCCAGTGGCACCATTTACTGAGGTGAGGAAAGCCGTGGGGGAGTGGGGTAAGGGTACCGTTGTGAACACTCATTTATTCAACATATCAACTGAGCGCCTACTGTGCCCGAAACATGTTAAATCGGAGATGCTTATGAGGATCTAGGGGTGACGATGACACACAACAGACTAGAAGGATTGGCAGATGCCTCGAAATTGTTAAGGATCAGAGCCTAACTAGTTTCCTACAAGTGAACAGTCTGGTTGTTTCCCATCTGTTATTATTGCAAATGGTGCTGTAGTGAAGAAAGCGATACACCCTTCATTTCCCACGTGTGCAAATACCTGAGGGGTGAACCGCTAACAGTGGGATCACTGACTCAGGGAAGACTACGCATTTGTAATTCTAAAGACTTTGATGGATTTTTTTCGAACTTGCTCCCCATGGGATTTGTACGAATTACTATTCTATAAACAATGCACGATGGAGCCCATTTTCCCATCACCTCAGCAATAAAAGTAGGTTATTGCACCCTCAGATTTTTGCTGATCTGATAGGTAACATGTTTCATAGCGCAAACCAAAGATGCAAATCTCGAAATGTTTTAGATTTGGAAAGGCTATACGTCTGATTTACCATATTGACAGAATAAGGGGGGAAATGAACACTAAGTAACAAACACTAAGAGAGCATTCACTAAAATTCAATATCCAGTCATAACAAAAAAACTCTTAACAAAGAAGGAAGGGAAGGGGAGGTTCTTAATGTTATTAAAAGCTAGCTACCAAAATATCTATAAATAACGGCTTACTGTGGGTGAAATCTTAGAAACATCTTCATCTGAATCAGATACCCCAGGAAGGATGCTCTCACTACCACTATCCACACCGTGCTTGAAATCCTAACCAGTCAAACAAAACACCGTGAAACTCTACAAACTGTTAGAACTGAAAAGAAAGTTCAACAAGATTTCTGGACACAAGATCAATATTCCAAAATCAGAACCATTTCTAAAGATGAAGAAGATTGAATCAGAAATGTAAAATGAAAGAATCCATTCAAGCCGGACACAACACCACAGGACACCTACAAGTAGAAGGATATCTGATCAAAGAAATGCAAGAACTTTATGAAAAAACTTGCAAATCTTTTTTTGAGGGCTGCAGAAGAAACAGTATAAGCAGGCTAAATATGTGCTAATAAATATCAAATTTTCATGTCATTGACAAGACGATTTCATACTTCTTACGGACCTATAAAGGCTGAGATGAGCCAAGACAATTTTGAATAAGCACTGGGCCTTGTTCTACAAGATGGAGACACTTATCATAAGCTATACTAATTAAGACAAGAGAGCGTTGCCGTGGAAATAGAACCAACAGATCAAGGGGACAGAACAGAGAGCTTAGAAACAGACCCACGTAGGTAGAGTAACATGGTTCATGACCAAGGGGGCATTTTTATTTTTACCGGAAAATGGAAAAAGGGAGACGAAACGAAAGCAGACCAATAACCCCAACGAGAATAATAATCGCGAACACATGTTAGGAGATACCAGCCAGGCACTGTTCAAAGGCTTTATGTGTGTAACTCACAGAATCCTCACCCCCTCACGGTAGCCCTCGCGGTAGCAAAGATACAGAGAAGTCAGAAAACCAACCCCAGGACACAGAACTAGCAACTGGATCCCCAGGATCCCAACCAAGGTAAGCTAGTCCGTGTTCCTAACCTTGACACTCCGTGGCTTCTAACACAGCGGACGTGAATGGAAAGAAGAGAAATCATAAACACAACGATGTCATAGAACAAAAGATGGCATGAAGTTACAAGGCAAAAGACCTGTGCCATGACAGAAGAAAAATACAGGAACACAATGAAAGGGCAGCGTTTTCATAATCAGAATGTTAAAGGAAAAAAAAAAAAAAAAAAAACAGACAATAAATTTTTTTTTAATATGAAAACAGGCACAAAACAGGAAAAAGAGGACACTTTACAAGCCACTAATTCTATACACACGTGGGGCTGGAGGACTCCAGAAAATGACAGCGAGGAAACGTAATAGATGCCCATTCCAATTGACCTCCCTCCAAAAAAAGGAGTGATAAGGGACTCCCAGAAGCGCACAGGGATGGGAAATCGGGGAACAAGGTCTGGGCTGGAATTCAAGGTGCACCAGGGAGGAATGCACGGGGGCGCTTTGCGGAAGAGATGTTTCTGGAATAAAACCCGGGCGGGGGCCAGAGGCCTCACTGCAGACCAGGGCTTCGTTCGGCTACCACAGCCTTCCAAAGCTCCTCCGCTCTGGAAAACAGTTATCACCGCAGTGCTTAGCCATTCCACGCTTAGCACCTTCCTCACGGACCTTTAACGGTTCCTAAAGCCTTGCTCATTGTCTCAGGCCGAGGGTAATGCTTTCCTCTGAGTGTCGATTTGCGCGCTAAAAGGCAATGGCTTCCAAGTGGCTTAGTTCGCAGCAGCAAAAATACATGCAGAAAGTAAACTTGGGTTGTAACCACTGCGTGCTGTCTCTAAGGAGGCCTTTATCCGTTTGACCTCATTTATCCATGTGTCTATCTCCTTGGCAACCAAGATGTCTACAAATCGGTAGAAGGAATGTTGAGCGTGGATTCTTGAACTGGGAAACCGGTTCCCGGTAATGGAAAATTTCATCTAAATATTTATTTTGATTCAGGGTGCTTTTCCACAGAGAGCATCATCTTGCCAAACTCCGACACTGACTTGGGGAACGGCTGACGCTATAAAAATAACAGCATAGAAGTGCCTCGATTATCTTGGGGTTGACAACCCATCTGGGGAGACAGAGCAAAGCCTGCGTTGCTTTGCTCTGTGCCAGGGGACAAGGACAAAGGACAGTGGCCCCAGGACCACCCTACTCACACACCACTATCTCGTACGCTTGTGCAGAGCCCTTTCTGACAACAAACGCTACCTGACTCCAGCTGTTCTAGGAGAAGGAACAAGTGTGACCCAAGTTTGATATCCTTAGCACATAGATAATATATTTAGCAAATGTTTTGGGGGTAGAAACCTTGCTTATTATAGCGGAGCCACAGAAACGTGTAAGAAGTACAGTAGTTTTCTGAATGTAATTTTAATAACATGACATTCTTTCTTCTAGAAAGTATGCAACACATTGTTTTAACTTATGGGCATGTGAACTTTACACTAGAATTTTATATAGATCAATAAGTCCACAATTTTCTATAACCGGGGGGGGCCCCCGCCCCCCGCCGTAGGCAGGAGGGTCCAGGAGAAAGAACCAAAGGCATGAGTTTGTCTCCTCATGTATCCATTTCCCTCCCTACTCAACAGAGTCTTTCCCCAGTTGCAAGGCAAACGCCTTGCTTCTTAGTTAATATGTCACACAAGACTCCTCATAATGTGGTCTTTGCCCACCTTTTCCCTGTACAGAGAACCCATCTTCCAGATTTGCATTATCTTATAGAGAAACCTGAATGTTAATTTGGCCCGTGGTCACAGCAAGGGGGTAAAAGGAAGAACCTGGATTACCTGATCAGCTGGTTTATTGTTCCACTGACCACTCGGGGAAGGTGAGAGCTGTGAAGCTGCCTCGGGTTCTCCAAGGGCATCAGTTTCAGGGAGACAGAGAAAAGAACCAGCCAGAAAGAAGCTGAAATAAGCACCGGGCTGTTGACTGCCCTTTACCTAAATTTTGTGTCCAAGGACACAGTGTGAGTCACCCAACAGCAGCTACGCGGGTAGGCTGCCACTTAGCTTTGTTCCATTTTGCAATTTATTTCCTTCCATCTTTATATTTACTTATTACATTGAAATCACTCGTCTAGCCAAAGAAGCAGGAAGGGGAGTCAAGGATGAGTCCAAGGTGTGTAGTTCAAGGAACCGGCTGAGCAGCAGAAGCATCTACCAGAAGAGAAGTTTTAGGGGAAGAGGCTGACTCACGAGTTGAGTTTTAGGTGCACTTGAGTTGGGGTGTTTGAAGGGCATCTAGGCTGAGATGTCAAGTGAGCATTTCAAAGAAGATGGAATTTAAGTTGTGGGAGTATAGGGAACAAGTGAAGCCCTGGGACGGGATTGCCCTGGCATCAGACTGTGGAGTGAGGAGAGGGTGGGGTGTGCCTGGGGGCCCGCCCGTGTTTCCAGGCAGGCAGAGGAGAGGTGATCGGCAGAGGGTAAAGAGAAGCACTGGGGGTGGGGGAGGTAAACTGGGTTGTGTGGTATTGTGGGAGCGAAAGGGAAGGAGGGTTTCCAAAGAGTGAGTGGACACCTTGGTGGAATGATTCTGAGAGGTGGTGTAGTAAGAGGACCAGAAAAAGCGCATTGAATTAAGTGATACAGAGGTAACTGGTGACTTTGACAAGAACTGTTTCCATGGCGTGGTTGAGACAGAAGGTAGATTAGAGGATTTGTGGAGAGAATCGGGGCTGAAGGCATGGAGAGACACTGTAGGCAACTCAGGCCAGAGATCTGAGAATGAAGGGCAGGAGAGCAGTGGTAGGGAGAGGAAGATGTAGTTTCCAGACGTTGGGCAAGCGGAGGGGTGACTGGTCTATTTGTTGATTTGTGGGGGGCGGGGTTTTGTTGTTGTTATAATGAGACAGATAAGAGCAGCATGAGTGCTGATGGGAAGGGACTAAGAGAGGAAGAGACTGAAATCAAACAAGAGAGAAAGTAATTAGTGTCCTTGAGGAAACCCCAAGGAGACGGGAGTGCAGAGCACACACCCAGGAGGCAAGAGGGAAAGCAGGTGGCTGTATGAAGTTCCCACCGAATGGGTTCCATTTTTCCAGTGAAATGGGAGGCAAAAGGAGCTGAGAATGAGACGGTTGGAGATTTGAGAAGAATAACATGCGTTTAAAAGAGATTTTGTAGGGGCACCTGGGTGGCTCAGTTGGTTGAACGTCCGACTCTTGACTTCGGCTCAGGTCACGATCCCAGGGTGGTGGGTTCGAGCCCCGCCGTGGGCTAGACGCTGAGCATGGATCCTGCATGGGATTCTCTCTCTCTCCCCCTCTTTAAATAAATAAATGAGATTCTGTAGACATTTGAAGGTCAGGCTGCCAGGTAGTTTAGATGGCCTGGGTGGGGTCACAGACTGTTCATGTGTAGTGATAGAGGTAGCCTTCTGCCTCACTGTGTTTTTCCCCAGTTGTTCTCAGTAGCCAGGGCACAGACAGGGCAAAGACACATGGTTCATCTAAGGACGGGAGTTGCCAGAGAATTTGCAGGAAAATCATTGACATGATGGATTCCAGAATCTACCAGTAATAGGAAGAAAATAGATAGAAAGGGGCAACTGAGGAATAGATAAATAGAGGGACAGGGAGACGGAAGGGAAAGTCAACTCAAAGCACCTGGCCGAAGAACAGTGGTCATGGGGAACGTAACAGAGCAGGTTGAAAGAAAGGAAGGCTGTAAATAAAATGCTGGATGTTGGCATCATTTGATTTGGAAATGGAGTCGTTTCGAGTATTGTTGAGTGCCATAGCATGCGATGGACAGATGAGGCAGACTGGGTAACTGACTGGAGGAGTGAGTAGTTCATTCACAGGAACATTGAAGTCATGTGGGCTGATGGATGGAGTCGGAGCAGAGAGGGATGGGGAAGCTGACCACAGAAACATCGGTGGAGGAGGCGTGACTGGAGGCCAAGTGAAGACGGGCACAGGGAAGGGAGCACAAGCTTCCAGGTGGGGAAGACCAGCTAGGGAGTGAAGGAGTAGTGGTCTGAAAGTGGCAATGAGGAGGACACCGGCTCACTCAACTCTGGAACCACTTGGAGCGTACATGTCCCCCATTTGACCGGCTGACAGATGAAGCCTTGTTATCGGAGGACTGTCCCGGTTCAGTTAAGACAAAGAAATAGAAGGAATCCCCCGAGTAGGGTGTAAAGACAGGGGAAGGAAGTCTCTTTTTCACAGAATGGCTCCTCCCCCATGCATAGGACATGAGTTTGCCAAAAGTGGACAAATGGTGGCCAGGGTCATGGTCCCTTTGCTGTAGAGAAGTGTTTTTGTTCTTTTTTTTTTTTTTTTCATATTTGTATGTCCCCAAATCCAGGATACCGTGAAACACCTGCAATAGTTTCTTTTTTTTTTTAAGCGTTCAACTCTTATGGAAAGTTTGATTGCTCAGTCTTTTGCTGATTCTGCTTTGACGTTTTGAATACCAGGAATCATTATACAAGAATTTAGATGCAGACCCAAAAGAGTGTAAGAAATTCATTTTGTACCTGTGTTTTCATCCGTACACGTCTGGCGATTAGATCTCTGTTATGAGCTCGTCTTGGTATCATTTGCTCCTTTTTTCCCCTGAAAGTGAAGCAATAGAATGCATTCTGGTTAATTTGGTGTTTTGGTTATTGAAATTGTCATGAATCCAAATGTGCTATACACAGAGCTTCACTCTCACCGCCCTAAGAAGGATTATGATGTTCAATTTAGATGTGAACTGTCAGTTGGGGGCTAGGGAGAGGACAGCATTACAAAATGGCAAGCAAACTTTTTAAAGACCCTCTTATCGTTATAGAGGAAAAGTGCTATATGTCCAGTTAATTCACTGTCATTAAGGAAAAACTCTTCAGTCACTTCTCCTAGTAAATCTGGAGCTTTACGACAAATCTGGTGTTTTGCTTATAACACTAATGAATGAAATTCCTCAAATACATGAAATGTCGGAGTCTGGCTTTAAAAATGCAAGCCATAGCAATTAAGCGTCTCAGGAAGAGAGTTAGACTGTCCTCCTCCAGTACAGCTCCTGAGGAGAGACGTTGAAAACTCAGTGAAGGAATCCAATTTGATACGGCATTAAATTGAGAATTTCAGAATATCAGTTTTGTTTTCCCATGCAATATGGAGATTTGTGACCATCCATAACCATCTGTGCCCTTCTTTCTTAATATATATCAAATCCTGGAAGTGTCGTTTGAACAAAGGGGTCTTATAGTTCCAAAAAATAACCTGCAAAAGAAACCTGTAATTCTCATTAGTTGTTCTTTTAAGGTTCCTGGACCCAATCCCAATGTTGTGGGGAGAGGGGTGTCCTCCCACCACGCACACAACACCAAGCAATTCTTGGACATCGGCAGGGTGTCGGGGAATTCAAGTCAGTTCTGACGCTACTCGGAAACAGCATCAGATTCCACAGGTTAAGAGTTCTGTTCCACAAGACTGTCTCTCACCCCCCCATTTCAGACTCCAGACCCGTGGCAAACCCCAGGATGTTACCTGTGCTTCTACAAAGTGGCTACAGCTTGGAGGTTTTAACAACCTCTTTGGTAAGTTCCATTAATTTGCTAGAGTGACTCACAGAACCCAGGGAAACAGTTATTACATTTCAACAGCCAAGTGAAGAGATACAGAGGACAAGGTTTGGGGGGAAAGGGGTGGAGCTTCCCTGCCCTCTCCAGGCACTTTGCTGCCCCACGTCTCCAAGCATTCACCAACTGGGAAGCTCTCCAAGCCTTTGGGGTTTTAGAGAGGTTTCCGTTATACAGTCATGGTTGACTAAGTCACTGGCCATTGGTCAACTCCCTTTAGCAGCTCTCTCCCCAAGGTCAGGGAGTAGGACTGAGAGTTCCATTCCTCTAATCACCTGGTTGGTTCTCATGGCAACCAGGCCCGTCCTTAGGGTACTTAAGGGCTTTCCCAACTCACCTCATTAACATAACAAAAGACACCTTTATTGCCCTTATCCTAGGAAATTCCAAACGTTTTAGGAGCTGGGAGTCAGAAACCGTAGATAAAAACCAAATACACAACAAAAATTTATTTTGGCCATTTGAATGACCAAATGTATATTTCTTGTAAATCACAATATCACAGTTGTCTTGGTTGATAATTTGTCTTAGTTGACAGCTAATCATTGTAATAATGATGCAATTGACAATTCTGTGTCACTAACTGTAAAAATTATTGTAAGATTGCTCCGTCAAATCAGATGATCATGTTCCTTTTAAATTTAAATTAAGTTAAAAAAAACTTTTTATTTTTACATTTATTTATTTATTTTTGAGAGACAGAGAACAAGTAGGGGATGGGCAGAGACAGAAGGAGACACAGAATCCAAAGCAGGCTCCAGGCTCTGAGCTGTCAGCACAGAGCCCGGACAGCCCCACGCAGGGATCGAACTCACAAACCGTGAGATCATACCTGAGCTGAAGTCGGATGCTGAACCGACTGAGCCACCCAGGCGCCCCAATTTAAATTAAGTTTTAAAAAGTACATTGCAAAGGGGCGCCTTGGCTCATGAGTTCAAGCCCCGAGTTGGACTCTGTGCTGATGGCTGGGAGCCGGGAGCCTGCTTCGGATTCTGTGTCTCTCTCTCTCAGTCCCTCCCATGCTTGCACTCCCTCTCTCTCTCTCTCTTAAAAATAAATAAACATTAAAAAAAATTTTAAAGTACATTGCAAAAATAAACTATTGAGACTACACTAAAATAAAAAGCTTTTGCACAGGGCAGGAAACCATCAACAAGTGAAAAGCCAACATATCGAAAGGGAGAAGATATTTGCAAATAACATACCTAATGAAAATGAGATTTCAAGATACAGCAAGCGAGCCAAGATAAAGGATCTCTTAAAAAAAAAAAAAATAGGGCAGGGATGCAGGTACCTACCTAGCTCAGTCGGTAGAGCGTTCAACTATTGATCTTGGGGTTATAAATTTGAACCCCAAGTTGGCTGTAGACATTACTTAAAAATACAAACCTTTAAAATGAAATAAAATAGGGCCAGGAGGCCATAAGGGAGAAGGAATTTATGCACGTTCTCCTGAAGGAACTGTGAGCTCTTCACCAGCTACAAGCCCTAGGGCTGGACTCCTTCCTCACCAAGACACCAGAATCTTCACCATTCTTCAACTTCCAAAGGAGCCAGTGAGATCTGACACGTCTCAATCCTTCATTTGCATATTAACCCAACCAATCCCAGTTCACCTCGCTCCAATCCCTGTTTTGCATAACAGACCTGACTGAGAACTGCACTTGTAACCTTTTGCCTTTATAGCCCTGTCCCCTCTTAGTCTTTCTCTGAACATAATTCAGGTTTCTATCTGAATCTGTGTTTCCCTTATTACAATTCTACTTGCTCGGATACGTGCCTCTTAAATTTTCAGTGAATTCTTATTTGGTCAACACCCATGAGGGGTTAATATCTTAAATACAAAGAGAACTTATGCAACTCAACCCCCCCCCCCCAAAAAGAGGAATAATCCAATTTAAAAATAGGTAGAGGACCTGAATAAGCATTTTCCCAAAGAAAACATACAGGTGGCCAACAAGACGCATGAAAAGATGCTCAACATCTCTACTCACCAGGGAAATGCAAATCAAAATTGCAATGAGATACCACCTCACACCTGTCAGAATGGCGAGTATCAAAAAGACAAGAACAGGTGTTGGTGAGCGTGTGGAGAAAAGGGAACCTTCCTGCACTGTTTTGGGACTCCAAATTGGTGCAACCACCATGGAAAACAGTACGGAGGTTCCTCAAAAAGTTAAAAATAGAAGTACCATACGACCCAGTAATTCCACTAGGGGTTATTTGCCCAAAGAAAATGAAAACACTAATTTGAAAAGGTATATGCACCCCACACTTATTGCAGCATTACTTATAATAGCCAACATATGGAAGTAACCCCAGCGTCCCTTGATAGATGAATGAATAAGGATGTGGTACGTGCATATCCATGCAATGGAATATAACTCAGCTATAAAAAAGAATAAGATCTTGTCATTTGTGACAACATGGATGGACCTAGAGGGTATTATGCTGAGTGAAGTGAGTCAGACAGAGGACGACCAATATTAGATGATTTTACATCTAAATGTGTGATCTAAAAAATAAAAACAAACGAAGAGATACTCTCCCTTAAAGAATATTTCAAATGAGTGCATGTAGAAGCAATGAAGGAAATAGAAAATCACCATTAGAATACCTGGGGACAGCACAGGACTTCTCTATGAGTATGTCTTTCATACACAAACCAACCAATCGAGAGCCTACCCTTGTCAATTACCCTCTTTATCAAGGTCCCGCAGATTAAGCCAGCATTCCTGTCCTAAACACCCCAAGGCCAGGAACCAGACAAATCAGAAGAGCCCTTCTCAACAGGCCTTCCCAGAACCCACTGAAATTATTCAAACTAGCGCATCCTGAATTTACCTAGCCTGTTTACACTGCCTGACCCAGTCCTCCCTCCAAAACACACAGTAAAGCTCTTGCCCATATTTTCCCCTCATTCCCTCTGGCTTCTGATCACCCTGGTGCTTCCTCGCGTGGCCCTGCGTGGTCAGGCATATGCCCTCCTTTTGGTAACTGTGAGTAACAATCTTATCAATGGCAAGCATCTTCTGATCTGCTGCCCTCCTCAAGCCTAAATAAAAACAAAATCCTGAGTACACTTTTAAACAGACTGGTCTTTTACTCACCCAGAGCACAGCTAATACCTCCAAGTTTTTACCTGTACATTAGGGGTAACAGGGTTACAGAAATCAGAGAGGCCTGCACAGCCAAAAAGAGGTCACTTTTGGAGCCTACACAATGGAACCTAATCCTAGGGTCCCAGCCCAGCCCAGCAGACTTGTAGGTTGTGGAAAGAAACTCAATTCCCATCCACAAGACTCTTCTGGCCTTCCAAGGCTTCCATGTACTGGCCCCCAATTCTTTTGGCTAAGTGAGAGAAGGAGGACCTCATTTTTCAACCCAGGATGGCTCATTATGGGAACACATAATCCTCTAAGTAAAAATCATTTCTTCAAACTCCAGGGTGACTTCCAGATAAGACAATCAAAACAGCTAATGCTACATTTTCCCAAAAGCTGAGTTCCTCCATAGTAAATAGTTGTATGTCCAGAACTCTAAATTTCTTTTTTTTTAATTTTTTATTTAAAAAAAAATTATTTTAACGTTTATTTATTTTTGAGACAGAGAGAGAGAGAGCATGAACAGGGGAGGGTCAGAGAAAGAGGGAGACACAGAATCTGAAACAGGCTCCAGGCTCTGAGCTGTCAGCACAGAGCCCGACGCGGGGCTCGAACCCACGGACTGCGAGATCATGACCTGAGCCGAAGTCGGATGCTCAACCGACTGAGCCGCCCAGGCGCCCCCAGAACTCTAAATTTCTAATCTAATTCCATATTAGGAAAGAAAATATCTATATACCTTATCCAGGGAACAGTCCTGTTAAAGCCATAATACATTTACTTGACTACAAAGATCACATAAGAAGTTAACAACTGCTTTACATTTATGTTATGATGACTTCAGCATTTTCTCTAGAGGGAAAAAAATGGATGCTTTCTATTTGGAAATCTTAAGAATCTATTTAAATAACTTTCCCAAAAGAGAGGAAGTCTGTTAAGAAGTTAGTCTCCACCTTCAGAATGATAAAACTGTCAGTCACCTCCAAACAGAAGTTTTCTCACAAATAAAATGAAATTTCTTTCTTTTCTAGCACACTGCCAATGTGCTAAAGGTCACCAGCAGGCCTGGAGTGGCTATCCAAGACCACTCTTTGTGAACTGTATGTTTTCAGTGGATGCTTAGAAAGGAACGATCACATTCACGAAATGAACACTCATAAAGCAGCAGACATGAACCTAGCACATGCAAAGAATGTACGTTAAAAACTTCACTATATACCTACCAAGTTCATGTACATATTGTTGCAATTGTTATTTTTAACAAAAGGGCAGCACTTACACCCTTTTGGTGAATACTTGAGAATTATCTGTAAAAGCTGTAGATTTTAGATTTTGTGTGTGTGTGTTTTCTTGTAAGATTTTAGGTACTCCTTTAAATTTTTTTTAATGTTTACTTATTTTTGAGAGAGAGAAAGACAGAGGTGAGCAGGGGAGGGGCTGAGAGAGAGGGAGACACAGAATCCGAAGCAGGTTCGAGACTATGAGCTGTCAGCACAGAGCCCAAAGTGAGGCTTGAACTCACGAACTGTGAGATCATGACCTGAGCCAAAGTCAGACACTTAACCGACTGAGCCGCCTAGGCTCCCCTAAGAACTCATTTAAAATTCTAGTTGCCATTAGCAAACCCAGACCCCGAGTTAGAAGTCTGTACAGTCAGATTCAAGGATAAATTTGGAGACATACAGTCTGAAATGCAAGCATATTCCTTACAAAACGGCCTAATCTGGACCCAATCATGTGAAGACATCAGATCAAACCTATACTGAGGGACATTTAACCAAAGAAAAGGCCTATACTCTTTAAATTTCTCTATACTCTTTAAATTTCTAAATTTCTCAAGGTCATGAACAAGAA